AGCCACTTCTGATGCAAATGGAAATCTAGGTTGTTTTCCTTTCATGCATATCTCACATGATTTCTCAGGCTTCACAATCTTAAGAATGCCATGTACCAGCTTCTTAGAACTTAGACACCCTAATTTTTTGACGCTCAGATGCCCCAATCTCTTGTGCTACAACTCACTGTCACATTCAACACCTTCTACACTAAGGCATTTTGTTTTAGTTGTTTCCATAGTCAGTTTGAATATTTTTTTGCCTCTTTATTCAGATTGCATAATAAGCTTCTGATCAGAATCATACAACTTCAAGAGATTGTCCTCCATACTAACCGAGAAACCTTTCTCAATTAGTTGACCTACACTCATCAGACTGCTCTTTATACCAGGAACATACCAAACATCCTTGATCAAAATAGTTTTTCTATTTTTTACTCAAACTTTGACATTTCCCATTCCTTTATCATTAAGGTACTTATCATCACCACATCTAATCTTTGTCCTCTTTCTAGAGTCAAAATCAATCAACCATTGTTTGTTTATAGTTAGGTGATTTGAGCAGCTAATGTCCATATACGACCAATCTAACAAATATCCACCATCAGATTTAGAAGTCATCAATAGCACAGGTTTATCATCAGAATCTCCTCTGGCTATGTTTGCTTCTTCTTATTTCCTTTCCTTGTTTGACTAACAGTCAGCAGCAAAGTGGCAAAACTTCTTACAACAATAGTATTGAACATTCTTCTTGTCAAACTTCTCCTTTACCTTATGATGTTTTTTCACATCAGAGTTGGAGGCTTATGACTTCTGATAACCACCACCACGTCTCTTCTTTGCCAATGACCAAGACTGCTTTTGTTTCTTCATACCATAATATGCTTTCAGAGCTTGTTCTACCTCTCTTTCAAAGTTTCTCTCAGCCAGACACAACTCTTGTGCCTCTAGACTACTATGCAATTCTTCAATTTTCATGGTGCTGAGGTCTTTAGAGTGTTCAACTGCTACAACAATGTAATCAAACTGAGGAGTAAGTGATCTCAACACTTTTTCAATGATTACTTGTTTAAAGAGAACTTCTCCATAAGATTTTGTCTCATTTGTGATCAAAATCACTCTGGAAATATAATCAAGTGCCTTCGCATTGTTCATCATGTTGAAATTCTCGTACTGCTTATGTAAAGACTAAAGTTTCACCTTATTCACTAATGCATCACCACCATAACACCGTCTTCACTAATGAATCTTCTCAAACACATTCATATCCACAAACTGATGAATATAAAACAACGCCTTCTGGTCCTTCTCCTCGTTTGTCTTTGCGTGTTTCTCTACACTTTCGTTGCATCTACTAACCGTCATTGATGAGATCAAGAACATCTTGAATGTCAAATAACACATGAATTTGAATCATCCACCGATTCTAATTATTTCCATAAAGTACTGGAAGCTCTGTGTTCAAGCTACCGTTCCCGCCGTTCATCTTCGTTCTTGTGCAAATTCACTCAGATCTCACCAACACTCGTGTTTTCTAATCCCTCAGAATCAAGAAATGTGATTCTATTTCCATTCAGATCTTCAATTCATCGTGAATTGAATGAACAAAATCAATCACACACACCTCACATACACTCGTGTTTCTCATTCCTAAATCAGAACCGGAACTCTTGATATCAATTATTGGTGCACAAGAATGAAGCAAAAGACGAGGATAATGGAAGAGGAAGAATTCTAACTAACTTTCTTTCTCAACTGAAAACGGTTACAGAATGAATTAACTACAAACTGAAACTTGAGTTCAATATTTATACCATTAGAACAACTACATGAAACTCAAATTAAAATCTAAATGCAAATTTAAACTACACTTCAACAATAATTATCTTTTTACCATTATATTTATATTAAACACAAGACATAGACCGTCTTAATCTTTATCCACCTAATTATTGAACCCCAAAACATCACATAGTTGAGCCTAATACATGTAAAAAAAAAATCATTTTTTTTCCTCACTAATGTAGATAGATAGTATTTAAAAAAGAAATTAGTTGTACTAGATAGCTATAATTTTATCTTTACAAGTCTACAAAGTACTATAAAAATGGGAATTGTAGATTCTCATAATTATTGCAACCTATCCTATGGCTTTATTTGCTTCAGATGTTGGCCCAACGGGCACATATTGCCATTCATTTTTTCTGCAAGTACGACACCTCATATATATAATACATATACCCTTGCTACATACTCTTGGGAATCCTATGCTTCCCTCTTTCATCAAATTCATATTTTAACATCACATATGCATGTAAGTAGCTATAGTATCTTAGTAGTGTTTCTACTTGAAAAATCAATAAAATTGTTTTTTTTTTTTTAATTTAGTATAAAAATAGTACTAGTAAATAAACTTAAATAATTTAATCTATAAATTATAGTATATTCTTAGGGTGATTCCTTGGCATAAATCATATAAAGGTAAGGATAAAAAAGAGAATTAATATTTTGGTGGGTCACTGTGAGGGGTAGTTCAAGTAAGACAAGAATGGGAGTGACAGGTTGGTTTGAAAACAAATGGTATGCCATTAATTAACAGCTATGAAATTTCAAACTAGTGTTGGCAAGTTGGTTTTAGTTATCAATAATAGCGTTAATTAAGCTGTCAACATTAATATTTATTTATTAATTAATTAATTACTCATTCCCACTTTCATTGATACTATTTTCTTTTACCTGTGGTTGTTGGAAAAATAGTTCTACACGAGGTTTGATTTTGTTGGATTTTGGGTCAGCGTGGAGCATTTATATTTATTGAGGTCATTTTCTAATGAGAATCAAAGTTTTAAAAATTAAATCGAACCGATAGATTGAATTGGAAATCAGAGAAATTATCGGTTCAGCCTAATTATTAGATCAGATAAATTATTAAACTAGTAGGAATTGAGTACGATCAAAATTGATAAAAATGGGAGAACTTACAATTTTGAAAAATTGACTGATTAAATGCTTATTTATTTTTTTTTCCGGAAAAAAGTGATGAATATAAGTAGATTATGTTTTTAAACTATTTGAAATAACTATTCATTTTTAGAATTAAATGTATTAGACACTTTAATTTAATTACTTTGTTATGTCACTTAGATTTGAATTTTGTATTATTTTATAATGTGATTAATATGTTTAGAATTTAAATTTAAAGAATGACTTTTTAAAACTATAATATTTTGAAATTTAGTAAATGTTTTTTTTTTTTTTAAATCAAGTCATTTGATTCGATCGATTTAAAATTAATACAGTTTTTAAAATATTGTACTACATGTTTACTCAAAACTTTAAGATGATAGATATATAAATTCTCTTATTTATAAATTGCTCAATTTTCATTTTTCATTTTTCTAAAATCAATGTGGGACTTTTCCACACTTTATTTCTCAATACATACCATCATATATATTTTTTTAACACTCCCCTTAAATACGACGAGTCTATCCATACAATAATCTTCTTGAATTGAAGCTCTTTCATCCATAGACTTTTATTGTTGTTGACATTTTTTTAACCGGACATACATCTTACCCATCACCATGCAGAAAGAATTTTTTATATAAAATATAAGTGAGTCGATCATTCACTCAAAATAGACTATCACTGCTAGTTCATTAATTTTTTTGGAGGTCAACACGAGAGAACATTTATATTTATTGCAGAGCAATACACTTTATGAGAGACACACCACATATTCATAAAAAATCTTAAGATAATTTACGTGTGAGTTTTCTAACTTATAAACTATTTAATTTCTATTTTCCTAATCAATACGAAGCTTCCACACACTTTATTTCTCAAACACTTCAAAATCGCTCTTACTTTTTATTATATAAATTAGATATTATTTTCGTTTAGATCGTAAAGTTTAATCTATTGATATAATATCGATTCAGAATCTCTTGTTAAGTTTTATTTTAAGATCTTCTTTTATTTAAATGTTATTAATTACAAACTTGTATTTTAAATATAAATTTATAAATAAATTTAATGCATTATTTTTTAAATAATATTTTTTTGTTAAAATTATACATTAAATCGTGTAATATTCATTAAATAATGGATATATGATATTATTGAAATCAAATTCATTATATCTAATTAATTTAAAAATGGATGTGAGTTGTTAGTTATAGTTTAATCTTTAACAATAATATTTATTTTTACAAATATATTATTACAAAATAATACGAATATTTATAAATTATTAATTAAAAATAATAATTTTAAAAAATAAATATTTATTTATAATAGCCATGGCATCAAGATCCTAGGGGTGACCTCTATGCATGTTCTTATTACTCTACACTCGCCCTTATTGTATATGCGACTATTTTTCAAGTCTCAATATTCTTTATTTATAAAAATTATAAATTACAATTATATTAAAATTATTTTTAATTCAATTTAAATAAATTGTTGATAAATTAACAACTTTTTCAAAAAAATTATTATTATTATCATTGCTATGTGTAAAACACAACAACAAAACATACACTAATACAACTAAGTACATGTAACAGAAGTCAACAAAAACAACCATTAAAATACATTTTGAGAAAGTTCTCGATACTTTAATTCAATCGATAATTCTAGAAAAATTATCAAATAATGATCCTAATAAAATATAACTATAAATATGTTTCTACTGTGATACAGATATATGAGTTCAAAGTCGTGAAATTCTGACCAACAAACTATTGAATAAAAAAACAGTAAGACTGATAGGTAAACAAGAATAGAGAGACACATACTTTAAAGCTTGATTTTATTTACCTCTATTCTACTGCATAACATGGTGGCCCTCTATCTATATTTCTAGTTTTGTGACCTTTCTTTTCATCCACAACCTTGTCCTTTTTTTTTCTCTATCAAACACACTTCTGTTTTTGGTGAATTCGTTCCATTTTTCTCAAATAACCCTTTTCTTATCTCCATACTCTTTCACAGTGACCCTTTTTCTTGTTGAATTGATGTCTGGTTTGTATAATCAGATTTCCTCACCAGGAACTGCAAGGGCTAATTCACCAAATATAAACATGAGAAGCAATTTTGATGTTGATAGGTATAATAACTTATAAACATAATTTGATGTATAGATATTTTGATTTTTCTTAGTAGTAACATTTGTCAGACTTATATTCTATGTATATGTATATGTAATCAAGTGATTAAGCTCAAATAGTTCATAAGTTTCGGTTAAGGTCGAATCGATCGAGCGCAACTGAATTCGAATCTTGGCTAGAATCACTTTTATATGTGTAGTATTTGAGGAGTTTAATTAACTTTTGAGTTCATATTCTAATTAATTTTTTTTCAGTCAATACTTAACTGAGTTGGTAGCAGAATACCAGAAGCTTGGACCTTTCATGCAAGTCTTACCATTATGTACAAGACTCTTAAACCAAGGTTGGTTAGTATTATACATCTATATATATTAAAGGATTTTGATTTTGGACAATTTCTAATTTTCTTGTTAATTATTGGTATCTCATTTTTTATGTCATGATGAACATGATTAGTCTCATGTATATAGTCTCGTCGCTATTATAAGCAAAAGTTTATTGAATAACTGATGTATTTGATCTATATCAGAGATTTTAAAGGTGTCGGGAAAGAATGGATTGATGCAGAGCCAAGGGTTTAGTGACTATGACAGAGTGCCGTTTGGAAATGTCAAGCCTAATCATATGCATTCTTTGGATACAGCACAAAATTTCACCGGCTGGAACAGCTTGTCACATGAAGTGAGTCTTTGATTTTAAGTTATATGCACCAAAACAGATACAGGACACTGATACGTAAACACGGATAATAATTTGATGAAATTGGAGATGTGTCTAACACCGAACACATCTTCAATTTTGTTAAAATTTTGAAACGGAGAAGCTATAACGTGTTTTCTTTATTTCGAATACCAATGTTACCGTTCCATTTCCTTTTGATCATTTCTCTCTTACATTAGGGGTTAGCTGGAGTACAAGGACTAAATGTGGATTGGCAAAGAGCACCAGCAGTCTCAAATTCTCACATTATGAAGAAAATCTTGCGCTTGGATATTCCTTATGATAATCATCCAAATGTAAGAGATACCTTAAACATAATTTTAATGCAAGAAATCGAGAGTAGAAGAATAATGCTAAAAACTTTACACATTTACTCTCGCGCTTATTTTAAAGTTCGCACATTGTAACATTTATACTGTGAGTTACTAAGGCTGGCTTAAATTTCAGTTCAACTTTGTTGGGAGGCTTCTTGGTCCAAGGGGTAATTCACTCAAGCGAGTCGAGGCTACTACAGGTTGTCGCGTGTATATCAGAGGGAAAGGTTCAATTAAAGACTTTGATAAGGTAACTTCTCTTAGTAAGTTTTTTTCATCTCCGAAAATCTAATTTGCGATTATCTAGACTATTAGATTTTTATATTGAGATGCTCGATACTGGAGAATATAATGGATAGACTCTGATATCTTATTAAGAAGTATTTATATTGAGACACTCCACATTAGTATTTGTAATTGTATTGTAACTGTTACTTTACTATTGTTATAATCTAAAGGAAGAGTTGTTGAGGGGAAGACCAGGATTTGAGCACTTGAATGAACCATTGCACATTTTGATTGAGGCTGAACTACCAGTCAATGTTGTTGATATAAGGTTGCGACAAGCACAGGAAATCATCGAAGAACTACTCAAACCTGTGGTATCTAACTTCTCAACTCTTTCTAATTTCAATATTTTTCTCTGACACATCAGACTCGTCTTAAGTTTTCTGAGCTCCTGTATAACTTGTCTGACACGTATCTGATGATACTGATACGATACTTGTTGCAATGTGCAGGATGAGTCACAGGACATATACAAGAGGCAACAGCTTAGAGAACTTGCAATTCTGAATTCAAGTTTTAGAGAAGAGAGTCCTCAACTGAGTGGTAGTGTCTCTCCATTCACCTCTAATGAAATGATTAAAAGAGCCAAAACTGATCTATAGTCTTTTCTACATTGTGAAATTGTTGCATTTGAAGGTACTTCATGTATGTAAATGATTTGTAGCTGCAACTAAAAGATTGTTATGATGACAAGTTAGAGAACAAAAGAGAAAGGGTTGATAGTTTTTATACATATGTATTTATTGTCGCATTCAACTGTATTAGTAGAATAGTAAAATTCGCACAATTATATGATTGCGCCAATATGCGTTCTCTTTCAACTTAATCAACAGTTTTGATTCAAATTCAATTCTGAATATGCACCAATATTAAATTTTTTGAAAGAGTTTCATCACTATAATAGTCCTTCTCAGATAGAGAAATTAATCTTTGCGATTGCTCAAGAGTGTACACAATTGTGTAATGGTAGGGCCTTTGAGAGTAATGTAGACATGGAAGTTGTTGTCCGTGACTGTTACTGAGCCAAACTAATTATCTTTTGGCTTTGACTTATGAATGATTGTCTTTGAAAAGTGATGCTATTTTAGATCTCTTTTCTCCATTGTGGGGTCATTATGTTCCCATATTACAACCACCTTCTCCATTCTTCTGCCTAATCCCATTTACTAAAGATGAGCTTAAAGTCTGATTTAGCATTAAATTTTTTTTTTCAAATAACAAGTATTTCTTTCTAAATTTTTTCGACTTAATATTTTATTTTTCTTGGGTTTCAACTTTTAATTTTGAGTTTACAGTATTAGTTTTAATTTTTTTAAACTATTCTTTTAGTGTCATCTCATTAACTATATAATGAAGCTCTCTCTTTCTCGCTCTCTTAGAAGCTTCATCTTCCTTTAAATATTGTTAGTTATCATGTTCCATCTGGATCTATGATTATCGTTCTCTTTCAACTTTTCAATAGTAACCTTACTATCCGTTTTGAATATCATCTTTTTAAGAGACAGTCAATTACGGTTTCAACTGCTTTAAGAAGCGTCATAGTTTCCTCCATTGATGAGTCTTTCTCCCCCTCTAACGTATCTCTATTTTCATCTCTGAAAATGACTCAAAGTCCCCAGTTTCCTTCCCTTCTGATGCTCGCGTTCGTGTTCTCTTTTATCCACCCCTTATCTGGAGGAACCCATTTCAAATCGTTTCTTGCATGTTATCGTTGGCGTCTGCTAAGACTTCTCTAGATATTGAACCCTTTCGCTCTTGATTCTCTTTCTTATTCATCAAATGTATCGAGTTATTTGTCTGATCATCTTGTTTTCCCTTTTTACCTTTATTATCTATGATGATGTCCTTTATCTATGATATTTGGTAGTTGTGATTGGGATCTTGCATGTAGTTGTTCATGGTTTTGGTTTTGCCCATTATTATGTTAATTCTCTTTCTAACAATCGTGGTTAGAAGCTTGCATGTTGATGACTAGTTGGATATGTTGGTTTCTGCTACTCCCTGTTTGTTTTTGTCCCTTAATTTGAGGTAAACCTTTATTATCATTACCATCTTCATTTGTTTCATAGCTTACTTTTGCTTTTCCTTTATCCTTCAAATTATTCAATCTCTGATTTTGATGACTAACCTCTCCTTTAATGTTATATTTGTCTGTGGTGTTATTCTCCCTCTAAGTGTCTTTGTAACTGATGATTGGGACATGCATAGTGTTGCAACTTTGCATATCCTCTTTATTACTTCTGTTAGAGTGAATTAAGTCTTTATTACTTTGAAGCTTCTGGACTATTCTATTATTCTTATCCTCCTTCTCAGAGTTAACCTTAACTTTTTTTTTTGTAGTTTTCCTCCCCTAATCATCCTCAATGTATCTATTCTAAATATCCTTAGGGTTATTATATTGTTTCTCACCCTTATTCCTGCATTTGTCTGCTTTATCACTCTGGTTCCTGTTATCTCTATTTTTGTCTTGTTGATAACTATTATCACCCATTTTGTTTAACTGGTTTTTGTCCCTATCTTCTTCCTGCTTCTGCTGACTACTCTGATTCTTCTTTGTAGATGAACTGGGGTCATATTGTTGTTGATCTGCATATATTTGAGGTGAATTTTCATTCTCTTTCTGATTCGTATATCTGTTTCTTTTAATATGCCATTGTTAGAAAGTATGAGTCAGGAATGTTTTATCGTATCCACAGGAATTGATGAGAATATTTAATGATTGTCGTTCAATGGTTTAGTGATTTAAGAAGGGGGAGTTTTGAAATTGGATTTTATTTTGTAACATGAGTTTGTAAGAAATAAAGCAAGGTAAAATTGGTTTTAGTTTGATTAAAAGCATGCCAAGATTAGGGTTCACCAATCCTTTTTAAACGTATCCAATCAATCGAATATGTGAACTTAGTTTTAACCAATATAATCGCGTATCCTCGCAAAAATGTTCATCTCTAAAGCGATTTCGTGAATGTTATTGTTTTGAACGTTAAATGATCTCTCTAAATAACACATGAAACAGTAATCATTAAGATCAATACAATGTGAATATCAACTTCCAAATCTATGTCTAGAGTTTGTATAGTTAATAGATGAAGAAATTAGGTCAAGACTCGAAAATTTCATGTCTAAAGCAATCCAAACCATAAATATAACAAAAAATAACAAATAACTTCATATATATATATTTATCAAAGCCTTGTTCGCATACAAAAGGTTAAGAAGAATACATAAAATCAGAACTAGCTACCTCTAATCTTGACACAAGAGGGTTTTTGCCACCCATTTCCATAATAGCTTGAGCAACAAGTTTCAGAAGAAGGTTGATCAACATCCGAGTCAAATAATTGAGATTGGATGGGAATCTACCTTCTTTTTGTGAAAGATGGCTAAGAGATAAAGAAAAATTGAGAAACTAGGGTTTTTGTGCTGAAAAATACAAAACTATGAAAAGTACAAAAGAAAAGATATTTTGGCAAAAAGTGGCACCAAGTACTTATAGACATGTTGTTATGCTGTCAACTTCGCACTGCGAAGCTCTTGTTCGCCTAGCGAACAACCAAAAGTGGCACTTGAAGTGCCATTGTATAGTTAAACCTCCCATGAGATATTTCTAAATATTTGTTGTGCAAGCAATCCTTCGCACTGCGAAGAATTCGCTACAAACTTCGCACATCGAACTCTTGTCCAAATACTTACTGCCTTAGGTATATGGGTATTCACTAGGTCTTCACTTCTTCTTCGCTTCAGCGAATCCTTTGCTACCTCCTTCGTACAACGAATTTTAATGTCTTTTATCTCTGTATGAACAATGCCAAGTTTCCAATTCACTTCGCTGGCAAGTTTGTTGTGCGAACTTGATGATGTTTTTTATAGGCAAATTCGCTAGCAAGTTTGTTGTGCGAACTTGTTGATGTTTTGCTGCTGACTTGGTTTCCTTGTCAAATGTCTTGTGGTTTATTCTTCTATTTTGTGCCTAATTCCTGCACAATAGCACACAAGTCAAAGCAACCAAGACATTTTCAAACAATGAAGCATATCATCATAAACAAGAGTGATTCAATTCAATTCATCTACAAAAAAGGATGAAAAATGTCAACATTTGATAGAGCAAATAAGCAAAGTTTGTCATCTAACAACCACTCTAACCATCCTTCCTACTATTTCTTCTCTTGTATTCTCTAGGAATGAGGTTTGTTATGATGTTGTTTACATCTTTGTTGATTATCTGGATAACTGTACTCGCAGGTAACACAGTATCTTCGAAAATAATCTTATTTATGGCATTCCATATCCAATATAGTATGTTACATATGTTTGTTAAGATGTAGTTATCTTTAGTTAGCAACGATTCCCTTATCCAATCTTGTATATTAAGTTTTTTTTCTAGAATTATGATATTTAACCACTACCCATACCAAACCTATATAGCCCATGTACAATCCCTAAAGTAGTGGTTGACTATTTCCACCTTAACATTCCATCTAGGGATGAGAATGTTGCACTTAATCCCTCTATTACTTAAGTTTTCCATAACAGGAATCATGTTCTTAAGGATGTGCCATATGAACATTTATTGTCTAGGTGTAGCCTGACACTTCCAAACCTTCTGCCACATTCTTTTGTCTTTTCCAACTTTTGAACCACCAGGATCATTAGCTTCCTTCTAGATTATGATACTGTGATACCCAATCCTAACACTATAATGGCCATTATTAGATGGTGGCCATCTGTGTATATCATCTTCCTCTGTTTCAATGATTGGTATTTCCTATATTTTCTTGATGTTCACTGGGATGAACATATCATTGATGACATTTCTTTTCCATTAACCATTTTCCCTGTCAATTAGGTCCCTAACTCCGGAAAGGGGTTTCTGCGCTAGGACTTTAAATCCACATTGATTAGGCACCCAATTATCCTTCCATATGTTAACCTTTTCTCCATTTCCAATAATTTTACAAGTCCCTTTTTTTACTTATCCAACAACTTTGATGTAAGCTTATCCAAAATTTATCCATAAGTTTTTCCAATTTGTTACAGACTGCTTTAGGCAGTATGAAGGAGCTCATAATGTAAGTAGTGATAGCTTGCACAACAACCTTAATCATGATGGTTCTGTCCATGTAGGATAGGCTACTGTTGTTCCAACTTTTCATCTTTTCTCTCACCTGATCGCGACTTTCTATGTCTAATACAACTTAACTGCAAGTGCACAGTCTATCGCGTAGTAATAAAATATATCGATCCCACAGAGACTCGTAATCAAACTAGTGTTCTCGGGAGTTACTATGTTTAGCTAGGTAGATAATGTTTAGGGAAATAATTTTTGTCACTAAAGAGAACTAAAAACGTTACTTGAATTATAATTACGTGAATCGATATGCAGTAATTATGTTCTTCGGGGATTTGACAAGTTACCGTTATATGAAATATTTTTCAGGATTTATTTAAGCAGAAAATAGTGATCTGAAGACTCTCGTCTCACGATGGTTGTTGACGCTAATCATAATTCTAAGGGCCGAACGTACGCTTTCGCTGTCCCATTCGGGGTTAAAACTACTTTTTGGAAATCTCTAAGTTCTAATCCATTTTAAAGTGCTTTCGCTGT